CACAACAAAAACAACTCTGGCTGGAAGACAACCAGGAGGCTGCATCTTGTTAAGTTTCATTTACAAGCTTACTAGGAAAGGCAGAGAGTTTCCTTCAGGTGCCCCATGAATGACAAAGATGAGGTCATTTCATCGTTTCCCTGAAGTTTCCTTTTACTACTCAGAACCACTGAAAGGAGCTTTAGACACACTGGTGTCAGCCAAAAATTATGTCACATTCATTCACTTAAAAGATCTATAGGAAAGACATTATTAGCATTTTTCATAATAGTAAATGCCACTCCTGTGTAAAGGCCATGATTTTAAACCTTTCTACTACACAGCACAGCTTAGTGGCTTATAACTCCATCTCTACCAGTGGTTTCACTTTAACCATGACTGAGCTGAATGGAGGTATCAGAAAATCTGCAAATACTTACTGAGTGCTAACTATGTACTGGTTACAGTGCTAAGGATACTCTTTACCCTTTGGGGAACTGATCACTTAGAACAGCATTCTCCAACCTGTCTTTGTCACTCATTTTACACCATGAGCTAGTAATATTTATATGTTTATATATACATGTAAATAGTGACATATATGACATAAAACAATACTCTTACACTCTGTTTTCTTTTCTAATCTAGTTGTATTTTTTTATATGCTGGTTGTGATGACTAAAATAATTTTTGAGACACTAACTCACCACTGGAAACACTGTAGCATGGCACACCATGCCATGCCTCTTCTCTGTTCTCTGCCCCATTTGAGCAGTACAGTGTTAAAAGCCTCAACCAGTTCAATGTGAATGCTCAACAAAAGTGTACATACATTCAACATTTTCCTCTGGAAAAAATAAAATGAACAGTCTTCAATTTTTCTCAACCTAAGATTTCCTATTACATATCACTTGTTCTGATGGAATGCAACCAAAAATAATAAAACCTAATTTTGATGATCCTCTTGTTTATTCCAGGAGGAAGAGAACAGCCAAACTTGGTGCCAAATCGCCTCGAAACCAGGACACATCAAGCAATTCAGCCACACCTCTCATTCCTGATCATTCTGGGGCATCCTGAATAGTCATAAAAGAAACAGTTTCTATCACTTCAACTCTGTAAGATGACAACTTCCCAGAACAAAAGACAATAAAGCTTCACTAATGCTGGCCACATTTATTTGGAATTTGGCATAAAAACTTTAAACAATTTTCACCCACATTTACAACTTTGCCAGTCTAGGAAGAAAGAGACTGATGAGCAAATTACGGACAAAAAGAAGACCATAAGAAAAATGTTTACCTTAATTAAGAGAGAACAAACTCATCTAGCATTGCATGCCACACAATCATAACAGTGTGATAAATTCTCATTATAAATCACTTTTATCTATTAAGGCAGGTCTGGAAGGACTTCTAGTTGGCAAAACAGTCAAAGTTGTTCAAAATGCTATCTACACTTTAATGAAGCTGCATTTACTTTAAAATAGGCTGTGATTCAGAATAGCATATTAAAAATTTTAATGTGTGCCTGAAGTTATCCTGTTAGTAAGGTTTTACAGTATTAAACACCTTAATCCTTAAGTGCTGTCCTCAGAGACATAAACCACTGATTTTTCTATTCAAAGCAGAATATTCTAGTACTCTGAACCTAAGAGTTGGAAAGATTTTTATTTTCTTCCACTCAAAATAAATGTATGCTATATAGAAGAAATACTATATATTGCTTTATTTTTCTTCTTCATGACACCCCCATTAGGACAACCCTAGAATTGCCTACTTCAATGTTAATTATATTGAATCTTAAATTCTTAGTTCTTTCTAGCTGTAATGAGAATCAACCTTCCAATAATTTCAAATGCTTATAAATTTTTAAAAGTTCCATAATCCTTACTTAGTTTTGTATGACAAAACATGCCCTTTCCCAAAATGCCATGCTTACTAAGTGGAAATATTTCTAATACATTTTTTTCACTGTATTCTATATGGTTAAAGAGAATGGAGGAGTAAAAGGGAATGAGAGAAGGACGAATGAGGGGTAGAGAGAGGGACAAATTTTATTCAAAATTATTCTTCACACAGGCACTGAACAATGGTTCATCACTCTAAACTTATTCATGCTAACTACAAAGATGACAGAAACATAAAATTAATGAATCCATAAAAGTGCAGTTTTTGGAAACCAAGATGGACATTATCAAGAAAAAAAGGACTGACTGTTGAAGGACTTTTGCCTGTTTTTCAATAGCAATCATCACCCACTACCTTTCAACATGGTCTTCTCAGTAACTAAGTCATAGTATTTCCAAGTCAGATGGTGAGATTTTGGCTTACAAAGTCAGCTTAACCATAAAAGCCACCAAAGGAACTTGTTAAGTATGTGTTTCCTAATCTCACCATAGACGTACTGAACCAGAATCTCCAGAGAAGAATCTGAATTTCTGAAATGATGGCAAATTCAGGTAGTTGGCTTTTTGCCTTTCTGCCAGGCAGCTCCCTACCAGCAATTCAACCAAAGTAGCCATACAGCCACTCATTTGGCCACTCTACTAAAGGATGGCTTAAAACATAAAGCATAGGACTAAATTCCAATGGGGTAAAGAAAGGGGCAGACTGGTAGCAGTAGCCATGAAAAATGTATCTCTAGGCTTATATGTGCAACCAATAAGATCAAAAGTCTAGAGAGTGAAATACAACACAATCCGTGGCTATATTCTCTCTAGCATCATCTGGGGATTGTCTGTATATTCCAAGTCATCACACCACCATGGGATTTAGAATTTAATAACCATCTAAAACATGGCATGAATCCCTAGATACATTTATATTCTTGGATATCTTGAGTAGTAATACTTTAGAATAAAGAAGGTTTAAAATAAAGACTAACAACTGTTTTCTATACAACATTCAGAGGCAGATACCCACATCAAATGGGAGAATTGCCTTCAAAAGTGCCTCCTGCCATTTTCATTTTATTTTTACTTATTAAAAATCATAATTAAACAAATTTCATCTCTGAATTTAAAAAACTTTAACTTAATATAGGAATACACATATCAGGGATGTTAGCCAAAACTGATTCAGCAGCTGTGTGTTTAAGTAACAAGAGCAACTCAAATTCTGAATAGCAAATTCCTGAGGAAAACTTTTGATTTTTTCTCTCTTCCTTGAGCTCAATCTCTCTCTTTTGGCACATTCTACTCATCATACAGTACTGTGTACATTCATAGCACTTCATAAATAATAGAAAAATAAAATGATGTCTGTAGAGATAGGCCTGGAGGGATCAATTCTTAGGCACAATTCCAATGGTTAACTTTAACCACGGGGAAATTATGCTAAACGCCCTCAAAACGTACTGCCGAAATATTTTTATTTTCAAAGAAAAATTTATAATCAAAATGTGGAATATAGTTGGCTATTCTGAATGGGTTAAGTGTGTCAATGACTGGAAACTAAGCTAAAACATTAACCTCATCTATTTTTCTCCATATTATCTAAAATCTCTAAAATTGTAACCACATTTTGAATAAAAAAATCAATTCCAAGTTTCTCATGATAATTGGGGGAAACCACAGCATGGGTAATGCAAGAGAATAAGCCATCTAAAATTATCTTAAATCATTTTAATATTCATGTTTCCTTGGGGATTTTTAGAGACTGGTCAAATTACATTTTGATTAGGATAGTAATGAAGTTCATCACATTTTTTAAGTAAAAATATCTGACAACAGGGAAAAAGAATCCAATTTATGCTCAAGTTCCAATTTATTCAAGTAGTAGGCTAGGAATTTTTAAATTGCCACAAACAACCAAACAGGTAGGTAATCCACTAATGAGTAATTTCTTCTTCAGCATGATGAGTATAAAACATCTCAACACACTGAAGATTGAGCATATATCCTAAGCACTTGGCAAATGCAAGGTGTATACTAGCTATGTAATTATACTTGGAAATTCACCATGCTTTCTTATGACTGGTGAGAACCCAGGCTTCCCAGCTCTTGCCACCACAATCAGTCCACTGAAGTCCCGCTAACAGTACTCACAACAACAACCGTAGAATAATTTACATTCCATGTGATGAGTAACTAATAAAATGAGATTAAAGGAAGGCATTCTAAACTAAAATAAGAAAAGAAATTGAGAAATCCCGCAATGTTTATTATTATTTAGCAATAAAAGTCATAGGGAGAAGGGGAAGCAAATATGAAACCAAACAGCAACAACAAAAAAAACTAGACCACAACAGATAATGTTCAGCTTGCATAATCATTGTTTTTGAATTGTTTGATGGTATCTCTCATTATCTCCTAATGACTGTATACACAACAAAGTTTGTTGAGACTAAGGTTATACTTTGGAAAACAATTCATAAAAACATATACTGGCAGGTCACTTGAAACTACTATGTAACTTTGGAAGAAAACTCAAGGTGCCTATACTTCCATTCCTGACTATCCATGCATTGGATAGTGTGTTCTAGAATAAAGCAGAAGAAAGGCCACCCAAGGGAAATTCTCAGCCTAAAAGAGAAATGTAGCACATTCATCACTGTTTGACAGGTGAAAAGAAGAAGCGTGCAAGAAAGGAAATCTAAGGTTTGTACCACATTGGAAAGAAAAAAAAAATTAGCTATTAAATCTGTGTGGTACAAAAAAAGATGCCTACTGTATAAACACTGGAAGTTTATGTATTGAAAACACTTTATTACACGTGGAGAGTTACCATTACTTATGGCCACTGAATGAAAGGGCATCACTGAAATCATAATTTCCTATGGTATCTCCTATAAAAACATTTCCATTATAATAAAATACTTAATTTTTTTGGTTGTTGGATAAAAGGCATAACTTTCAATTATGATAAGCCTTCCAAAATATTGCTATTACACAAATATTTTGGGACATATGTGGTAAGAATAAAGGTTGATTTTCTCCCAGCAAACTCCCAGGGTTTTTTTCCCAGTAATTCCAGTCTGCATTATCAAAGCCACCAATTGCACCATCTCTCATGATTTACCTTTCTTGGATTTGGCTCCAATCTTCAGTTTTGATGGCCAAGCAATCTGCGTATTTGTTTCCTCCATGATCTGTAACAAAAATTAAGAGAGAAAAATATTGATTCAATTAAGAGCTTGTATTTACAGTTAAGATTCTTCTAAAAAAATTATTTTCAAGTCTTTAGTCTCATGCTGATAAAGTGATCTCATCTTAAAATAATGCAAAAGAAAAACTTGGTGAAAAGAGATACTCATTTTTATAACCCTTTAATCTATTAAAAATATTCAAGTATATTTTGTTACTCCCAGTGTTCCTCTCCGTGATGCTCCAGAATTTTAGCATGGAGACAACAAAACCAAAAGTACATGAACAAGTAATTGACCCCACTTGACGCCAGAACTCTCAGAGATGCTTGCGCTGAATAAAATTCCCCAAGACCATCGCCAACAGATTGCAACACACCAAACATAATCCTTGTAATACAAAACTACGTGGGCTAGGCCATACTAAATGAAGATTTTTTTTCTGGGAAAAAAAATAACAACTTGCTCTGGTCACATTTGTATTTCATTAAAACTGATGAAAAACCTCTAAATACGACATCATGTCCTAAGGCTGCATTCCCATCATCCTTCGCCTAGTGCAAAATGGCATCTCTGCCCCAGTTCTTTTCCGCTTCCATGTAGCTAACACAGGCCAGGGGGCCTTGGACCCAAATGTGCCAAGGTGCAAGAACAAGTGAGGGAAACAACAACCACAGAGCTAAGGCAGTAGATGGCAATTAAAAAAGAATAACCAAAAAATGTTCATCCTTGTTCCTCTCTTATCACATGAATAAGACTAGATTAAGGTTTACTTTTGTACCATGAATACAAAATTCACCAAAGAAATTGATAGAGCAAACAACTAAACAAGTTAATAGTCAAATAACAGCAACTAGCATACATTAACCGCTTCAAATAGTAGAGTAATATATACTTTTTAATATGGACTTAGTGTTAGTTAACTAAACAAACTAAAGGTGAAGACAACTAAACACAGTGAGATTAATAAAAAATACCTTTATCCCTTCAGCAGTCTATGTCTTATGTAGACATAAGGCTACATGCTTAACATGTTAACGTGCACTGTACTTCACTTAATCCCCCTTTTCACAGCATAAAAGAACTTTCAGCAGATGTTTCAAACAGGCAGCTCACAGATGCACTTTGTCTACCCATCATAAGGTTTTTAAAATGTGAGCCAACATTTTTAACTCTGGGAATTTCACATAGAAATTAAGATTTCTGGTTCTCTGGAAAACTTGACAGATTAGCACCTGGAGCTCACATTCCCACATGGCAACACTTGGCTGGCACTGAGGACCAGATGCCCTCTTCCGTCAGGTCCAGGAAGGTTCTGGGCTGTACCCCACAGCCCCCACTGGGTCTCTCACACTGAGGTCAAGAGCCACTTGCCATTATCATCACATTTGTGTTACTCACTTGCCATTTATCATGGTGTTTATACTGCTATTTTTCTCAGAGAAATATTTCTCTATACCTGTGTATCTCTAAGACTGAAAAACAAAAATGAGGTCACACAGTCCTCACTAAGTCAATGTACTGGCCTGGCCTTGAAAGTAGGTGAACTTGTTACCTCGACCCTCTAAGACCTGGACCTGCTTCTTCTCCTCCCATCTCATGTTGTCCTTGTTAATGTGCTCTAATCCATATTTCAAAATTAAGTAAATAAATATTATCCTCTTCAGTTTCTTCTGCTTCCCAGGAACATGCCAGCAGGCTTTCCCCATAGGGCTTCTGTGCCTACACTCACTCGCCCTTTCCACTCCTGCATGACCCCAACTGGAATTCTCCCCATCTCTCTGTGCTGACTTCTCTCCTATCCCTTACTGTATTCTGAAATTCTCCTATTTTCTGTATTTACTTGTTTATAATCTGTCTCTGCAAAATAAAAGCTCTCTATCCTACACACAACAAGCACAGGATATATTTGGGTAAATGAATCTTCATAGCATGCTTACAAAGCAGACTTCTTTATTCCTCACACAGGTAGGAAGCAGTAGAGTGGAGATAAAAATGCCAGGCTATTTGTAAAGACCATATTTTAATGACCAAACCATACGGAACATAGGGTCTCTTTTTAAAACATGTATATATGCTTTAATATTTGTGCATAACAAGTGGCTTTAACATCCTACAAATATTTATCAAGAGCCTACCTAGGTTCCACAAGTGCCAGGACCCACAGCTATGAATAAGATACAACTCCTGGCATCCACAACTTACAGTCCAGTCAAGGACACAGATAAAAAAGCCAACCGCTTAACAGTAAACCAGCTGCTAGCACAGGATCTGCTCACAAGGGCAGCTCACAGCCACTATCTTGAAAGGGCCAGTTAAGGGAGGTGGTTAATAAAGGTTCCCTAAAATATAATCTATAAAATCACTTAAGTCCTGAAGCCAAGTAAAAGTAAATTTCTGGGTAAGTTCAACAGTCACTGAATGAGGGGAGGAAGCTCCAATTAGGAGGGACTTCTCCTATAGTCCAGCTATATAGTTCCAGCTACTATACGTACATATATCTTCAAAGTGACTAAAAATTGATTCAAAATTTTCCTCTAAGTTGCTTTATGCCAAAGAGATAAAATGGAAAAATGAGACCATACTATATATAATGCTGTTGGTGGGGAGGCATTATAATTTGCATACTTTTCTTTTTCTGAATTAAATAATTTGGCCATTTAATCCAGTAAATTATGTTGGGTGCCACAATTATAATACTATTATAGAGAAGTCTCCTTGTCAACATATGGTGGCAAGACATAACTTTCTAAAATCTTAATCATCTGCAGAAGTTCCTAGAAATCACCCTGCATAAGTATTATCTTTTTATTAAATACCAATAGACGCTCCATGATAGAAAATAATATGCCAGAGATAATACCCTAGTTGTAAATAACAGCCATCAAGTCAAAATGCTACTTTACACACACTCCCTCTAAGCTTCCCACCAGTCTGGAGTCTCCACAACCTACCTGCCTCAACACTCTCTGTGAGGGGAAAAGAGACTATCCCAAGCTTAGTATCCCTAACTCTAAAACCGGAGTTTCATCTTCCACACCACATGCTCTCCAAAGTTCTATGACTGGCAGTCAATGTCAAACCTTACAGAGAAAACAAATTGCTAGTTGTTGGAATCTAGCACCTGTAGCTGACCTTCTCTCTATGTTTAGGGGGAAAAAAACAAACAAACAAAAAAACCGACTCCACTGAATATCATGTGTAGCCAGTCAATGCCACCCACACAGGTCACTCACCAGGCTGCAGTCCCCATACAGAGCTTCAAATGGATGCCTTCTCAGACATCCCTTTATTTGTTCATCACTGTGTGTAATCTGGTCGTTAAGAGAAGGAGTCAAATACCAGCTCTGCCACTTTCTAGCTATCATTTTGGGCAAATTACTTTTATCAGCTTTTTATCCTCTGTATAATTATAATTATAGTACCTACTCATAGAATTGTTGTGAGGTTTTGATAAGAAAACATGTGGAAAACCTCAAACACAGAACATGGCCCACAGTGGTTGTTAGATAATATTAACCCCTGTGTTAATTACACATACATTACTTTTGGTCAGGCACCGTCCTGGAAACTAGGGATATGACAGCAAACAAGATGGTGCTTCCCTCCAGGATCTCATGGTCTAACAAGGGAGAGGACAGGTTAACCCAACATTATGTACTGTGTGTCAAGTTTCAGAATGAGACAGGGCAATATGAGAGCATATAGAGGGAGTCCTAGCCCAGTCATGGGCAGTCAAGGAAAGTTACCCCAAAGAAATGCCTATTAATGCTGTCACCTGAAGGAAGAGAAACAGCTAGCTGGATAAAAGGTAGGAGAAAGCATCCCACATAGAAGAGTGCATGTAGAAAGGTCAAGGGGTGCCTGGGTGGCTCAGTCGGTTAAGCTGACTCAGTCTGACTTTGCCTCAGGTCATGATTTCACATCTCGTGGGTTTGAGCCCCGCATCAGGCTCTGTGCTGACAGCTCAGAGCCTGGAGCCTGCTTCAGATTCTGTGTCTCCCTCTCTCTTTGCCTCTCCCCTGCTCTTACTCCGTCTCTCTCTCAAAAATAAATAAACATAAAAAAAAAAGAAAGGTCTAGAAGGAAAGAGGGTAGGTACTCCAGAGGATTTGAGGGTGGCTGAGGTGCTTCAAGGCTCACTTCATAAATCCAGGACAGCAAATGTGTCTCACGTCTTCTCCTCCCTCCTATGGATGTGCACATGGACATGCTCACAAAGACTTGAAGACATGACATAAATCAAAGACATACAGGACCTGTGCTTGGCTACTGCTCACTACTCTAAGAACCAGGAAAGTAACTGCAAATAGGAAGAGGCAATACTTACTTCACTTTTAGGAAGTCAAAATTCCCCTTAGGAATTTATCAATGAAGCTTTTTAAACTATCACCTCCAATGACTCCAAGTCAGTTCCTACAGCACAGTCACTGCATACTAACAGTTGGTTTTAGCCTCAGCCAGTTATGGAATAGTAGAGTGTGAAAGGGCCTCTAATCAGGGGGAGGAGGAAGACCAGTTCTCTGGTGGGAGTGTTGGGGGAGGATGGTCCAGGAAGGCCAGGACTGAAGCTGGATTACCAGAGCAGGGGCTGAAAGCATGAGCCCCGGTAGAAGAGGACGTAGACTGCAGGGTGCAGAGGCAGAAATCAGGGCACTAAGCAAGTGAAAGGCTCTGTGTACAGCAAGCTACTTTTTAAAAAGATGTCCTAAATGGACATCAAGACAAATAGGAAGGTAAATCAAGGTAAATAAGGGAGCTGGAAAAGGTGAGGTCCAGAAGCTGAGGCCTGAAATCAAAGAAGCAACAAAACCTCTGGGAAGAAAATGACCCTCTTATGTCTCAAAAAAGGAAAAAAAAAAGAAATTCTAAAGTGACTTCCAGCTAGCTTTTTTAAAACAATCTTATTATGGCCTTGTTTCTACCTTCACAAAATCAAAGCCCAAAGAACACACTACTAATTTTGAATCATTTTCTATACACATTAAATCACACTTTAAATATTT